CCCCCCAACTTGCTTTTGGTCATGGCATTTATCACAGCAACAGAAAAGAAAGTAGAAGAGGAGGTAACATGATGGATGCACCAGGGGTTGTATCAACAGGGCATGCAGCACTGTGCATTTGCAACAGGAGCTAGGGCGGGGCTTCCCAAACCTGAACCAGGGCATACCGTTGTTCAGGCCCAAACCCTCACTCACTCAGTGTTTGCTAATTTAGAAACATAAATCCTGTGAACGCTAGAGTCCCTCTTATAGTCCCTACAGTCTGTGCTGTCAAGAGCAATATTTGCTGAAGTTATTTAAACAATACTAAACTATTCAGAGGCATGCGCCTCTGTGAATCACTACAGAGATATATTTATCAGTCGCTCATATTTGCATCTAATGTCAGGTTTGGGGCTAAGAAAATAACTTGATGACTGAAGCGGAATACTATGATGTAGGAAGACCTCTACAGATGGGAGGGGTGGCAACATTGTCAGGACAGAGAGCGAGGACAAGGCTAAGAAAATACATATTCATGTATTAACCCAATTACTAAACGCGCCTTGCAAAGTTGGAGCTCTATAGGTTTGAAATGGGATTTCACATCATTCTGTCCCAAGTGACAGAGACAGTATTAGAAATGAAAATTTCTTTCCCCAGGCAAGGATACAGTGCCATTCTCATTTGGGTGGCGAAGAGTATCACAGGAGAAACCTTTATTTAAGGCTGGAAATTCTATTTACTCGGGAGCCTGAACCACTGTTTTTCTGTTCTTGCAAAATAAACAAAATATGCAGGCAAACAAGATACAGAGGACACCTGAGGGAGCAGAGAGAATGTGAAATCAGCACACAGGGTGGTGCCAGGCGGTGGATCAGGGGCAGAGCAGGGATACGGAGTTTTCCTTCTGCTATGAAGGGGGGAGGGTGACTTGAATCAGTGAGACAAAGCAGGAGACAGGAATTAAGGTATAGGTGCACCCCACCCCCACACCATAGGCTTTTATTACTGAGGTAGCTATGTTTTACCTAGCAGAAACCACACGGTGATGGGACGGATGGGGGAGAGGAAGGCATGCCCTCAGGCTACCAAACCTATGGAAAGGCTATGGCATGCGGGTCACCTGTGGTCAGGTGCAGTATAGTGACTGGCACCTTGTTAAGGAGGAAGTGATGACTGCAGCTCTCCATGTTGCCCATTTTACCCCTTCTCCCTCAGGGCCCATTAATCTTTCTCTGTGGTCTACACCGTCAGGGACAAACACTGTATGAGAATCTATACCTTGTACAAGTTCAAAGGGACCCATTTAAAAAGATAATCAGGAATGTAGCTACCCACGTAATTAGGATGTTGGAGAGTGGGGGGGTCAAAGCTCAAGCTTCATTGGCTTTACAGAGAACTGGCTGCCTCTGGCCGTCAGCTTAGCTTGTGATCTGTGGATTCTTGTTTGTTCTCCACCGTACTATAAGCTCCTTAAGGATGGAGACCGTGACTGTTCACCATTTCACCCCTGGCACTTACAAGGACCTCAACATGTGTGATTTGAATAGATGATTCCTAAAGTTCCTAACAATAAGGAAACAACCAATTCCCACATGGTGAGCCTGCACCTGTCAGGCCCTAGATGCCAGTGCAGAAGGCTAGGCCATAGGCCTCAGCTATAAACACCAAGTCCAGAAAGATGCTGTGAGTCCCAGATAGGAAGAATGAAAGCTGGGGTGCTCTAATTCCTATGCAATGGCACTATGTGCCCTAGAATGAACATGACTTCATGCATGGTAGGGACTTCTCACTGGTCTTCTGTGAAGAAAGCTCAAACAACAACAAAACCCCTACTCTCTCCCCCACCTCCACCATAGCCTTGAACCAGTGGGTCTCAAGTGCGGTTAGAACCGATGTCCTGAGTGTCTGGACAAATGTTATTGGGCAAGTTGTGTTGCTACAGTTGAAGAGTGTCAACAACTATAAACATCTTGTGCACAGAAGAAGGAGCCTTACACTGCACAGGCCAGGAAAGAGTTATCCAGGCAGAATTATAGAGCCCTAAAGGTCTGTTGTTGAGGCTGAGATTCCTGTTCTCAAATCCGAGGACTCCCTTTCTAGCTCACCTTCTGGATAGCACCGTCTGTGTCTGCAGGCTTTTGTTCTCTCCCTCCTCCGCCCACACAGAACAGTGGGGCCATGTGACTCAGAGGATACTTACTCATCAGAGTACCATGTAGTCTCAGCGGTACCTTCAGCTTAATGAAACAAGTGACCATTTGATGAAGTGAGCGATGCTGAAGCCAGCGAATCTCATCAGAAAGGCAGATTCTGTTGAGTCGTTTGCAGGGGGCGGAGAGTCTGCCTGGGGCTAGCTCCGGGAGTGCAGTAACCCATTTCCTCCTAAAATCCCTTGAGCTTTGGAAGCTTCCAGTCTGGCTAGATAGTACCGGACCCAAAGAAGCCCAAGAAGCTGAAACTAGAGCACTCAGTCTTAGAAAATCAGGACGGAGCTGGGAGTGGTGGTGTGTGCTCAGAATCCCAGCACCAAGGCGGGAGGATTGCTGAAAAACTGATGAGGCCAGGTCAAGACGGCTTACCCAGCAAGTTCCAGGCCAGTCTGAGATAAGAGTGAAACCTTGCCAAAAAATAATGACCCCAAACAAAAACAAATCAAAACGGAATCTCAAAACCCAAACTAAGTAAAGAGATTTTTTTTTTTTTTTAAGTAATAAAGAGAAAGAAAATTAGAGCTGGAAGGGTTCAGAGCAGGCCTAATTAAACTCCACTTTGGAGTGAGAGAGACTCCACAGTGGTGAAAGGAGTTAAAATCCTACTATGTGCCATGGCAGTTTTTAGGCAAGGCTATTTGATCCTTGTTTCCCTGAGTAGCAAGGCTCTCAGGGACCTCTTAGTGGGCAGAACCCAGTCAAGGAGGGAGGTCTGTAGGACCTTTAGGAGGGTCACTGTATTTCCTACTTACCTGTTTCATGGTTTGCATGAATACTGAGAGTTTTAGGAGGCTATTAGATCCTCTCTGCCCGGCCTATTGCTTTTCTGTATCACTAAATATATAATAAAGAGAGGGCCAGTACAGAGCATGGAGTCTCAGACTTTCTGCTGCTCCTTCAGTAGGTGCAAAGAGTAGAGTTCCAAAGGTTAACCAAGGAGTGGAGTGGCAAACTCCGAACACTTCATTCTCATCTTTCAGGGTGCACAAAAACAAAACCACGTTCGGCTTATGCTAAGATGTGATTCCTTCCCTTTTCTAGTTTCATCTCTGTTGCTGTGATAAAACACTCTTGACCAAAAGCAGATTAGAGGAAAGTGCTTATTTTACCTTATTCCTCTAGGTCACAGTCTGTCTCTAAGGGAAGTCAGGTCAGGTACTTGAAGCTGAGACCATGTAGGCACACTGCTTGCTGGCTTGCTTACGCTCATGCTCAGTTGGCTTTTTATATAGCTCAGGACCACCAGCCCAGGGAATGGTGCTGCCCACAGTGGGCTGGCTGCTTCTACATTAACAATCAAGACAACCCCCCATAAACATGCCTGCAGGCCAAAATCTGATCTGGATAATCCTTCAATTGAGACTCCCTTCTGGATGACTCTGCTTCCAGTCCTCAGGACACACATTTTTAAATTCCCACCACTTCGACCGCAACAAGAACAAGTTTCACAGAGTAGCTAAAAAGCAAGAGCAACAGCTGGAACACTGGGCATTAATAATATAACAAAGGAAGAAAAAAAAAGAGAAACTTTTCATTAGTACTTTTTGATGTCAATTTATTATTTATCCTTTTGCCAATATTCAAACAGGCGGGCAGTCATAAAACATTCAAAAGAGCTTCTAAAACAGCCAGGCATCTGGTTTACTTCAGTTCCTTTTTAGGAATCAGGACATTGGTGATCCTGGTGTTTAGAATATAGCAGTGTAAAAATACTCGCTGGTTCAAAAAATATTGCCTGAGGGGCTAGAGAGATGGCTCAGTGGTTAAGGGTGGTTGCTGCTCTCCCGTCAGACTGGATTTGGTTCCAGCACCCACAGGTGGCTCACATCTGCCAATAACTCTGGCTTTGGGCACTCTGATGTCTCCCTGACCTCCTCCCACACGCATGTGCATGTGCCTGCACACACATATAATAAAACAAACATTAAACACATACTGTTTGAACACACACAGAAAGAGTGTAACGCTACACCACAGGCAGGCAGGCCATGGTTTGCAAGGGAGGACACACTGGAAATCAATGATGTGCTGTTTCCAGATTTCTGAAGCCTTACTTGGTATTACTGTTTGAAACAAGGACATTGAAAAGGCCCCCTGGTTCAGTAATTAGCACCCTGTCAAATCCTGCCAATCAATACCAGCATGCTGTACCTGGCCTGAGTCTTAAAAAAATAATCTTGAGGGCAACTGTGATCTGACCCTTCAGGGCCTGCCATGTTCAGAATTGCTTCAGCGTGCCCTCCACAATTACTATTCACACAGAGTAAGCGGCTCTCCTCATTAGTGGCCCTGAGAGGTTCTGCCTAATCCCATGACCTGCCACGCCACTTAAATTGCTCTGACACATGACTGTCCCTGCCATAGAGACAATCTCTTCTTGAGCAGGAAGCCACCCACAGTAATACCACTGTAGAAACAAAACAAACAGAACGGGAAACACAGAACCCAGAGCGAGCTGAAGCCCTTAAGGGCCCACTCCCCAGGATGCTCTCTAGCTAGACTTTCCTCTTCCTTTCCAGGCACTGTCTTTGGTGTAGAGGCTATGGTCCCTGATATATGTGATGACAGCGTCAGAGAGCAGGTACTTGACACTCTGCCCTTGGCCCAAGGCTTTCCTGATGTATGTGGCACTGATCTCATTCTTAATGGGTTCCCTGACCAGGTGGATGTTGTGCTGGAACTGTTGCAGGATGGGGGAATCCAAGATGTACCCTTTCGGGTCATGGCCGTGCCGGCTCACACACACCAAGCCAAACTTCTCCACTATCTCCCGGATGTGCTCGTCTTTCCAGAGGTTGGGGGTCTGGAAGGTCTGCAGGACATCTGCTCCACAGAGGAATTTCAGCTGGGGCAGTGCTGCAAAACAAGGGTGGGCCCCGGCAAAGTTACAGGAATTTGAAGTGTTTTCCCGGTATACAGCTGCAAGAAATGACTTCCGCATCATAGCTTTCGGTTAACAGTGACAAAGTGTCAGGTCAAGCAAAAAAGATTTTGCTTTTCAGTTCGCAGTGCGCCAACAGAAGTCTGTCTGTGATTGTTTTGGACCTGGGCAGGCAGAGTCCCAGAGGTGACTATGTTGTCCCCAGAAGTCTATTATCTGAAGAGTAATGAGACTTCTAACGTCCAAGATCAAGAAGCTGTGAGCATTGTATAAGTCACCACCTCAATTTTCATATTATCCCGAGGACCCGGCATTTTCATATAAAACCTCCTGACAAGGAACAGGCTCTCTGGACAACCAAACGGTCCCTAAGATCCCAGCGGGTGGCTTTTTCATTTTCATTTGCAATACGACAAAGCTCTAGGACAGCTGGTCAGTGTGGCAGCGCCGTGGACTTCAGTCTAACAGAACACTACTGTGGTAACTTTTCGAGGTTCTCAGTACAGCCTGGTACTATTACTAGACAGGCTGTGTAGAATAACATGTGGACCTCAGGACAAGTTTATGAGGTAGGCCTGCTGTGTCCACTCTGCAGGGGTAGAGCCAAGGCACAGAGAGGCTGGAGAGGGCTCACTCAGGCCGTCCAGCTGGGAAACTGGCAAACGTGCAGCCAGCCTCCAGCCGGGGCATCTGTAGCTGCTAGGTTCTGCTGCCGCCTGCTGGTGAGAATCTGCACATGCGCCATGAACAGGAAGCCCCGAAGCACTGCCAGAAGGAAGGCCTTTGCTGATGCTTTGACATCATTCATCTAGCATGGGCTAATCTGAAGAGAAAAGCCAAGCCCAGAAGCACACTCTGGGACCCTGGTTCTTCTGGGACATGATTCCAGAAGATGATGCTGGCTAGCCTCACATCTTTGTCATCCTGAAGACTCAGAGAGGACAAGAGTCTGGAATGCCACACATTGGGGGAAAACAGAATAAAAATGGTTGGTTTAGGCCTCTGTACAGGGGGGTATTGGGAAGAATCTGGTCATGGGCAGAGGATGGGCTTACAAAGAAGCAAGGCCTGGCCTAGGAAAGAGGAAAAGAGACTGGCAGTGTTATACAGAGGTCTGAGGTCAGCCTTCCCGGGGCAAACACTACTATTTCGCTGAAACTGGCCTCCCTGCTCTGGGCCCTGATCAGCTTCCTCATCTACAAGAGATGACAAGCCTGGGCACAGTCATGGCAGCAGATATCATCACACAAACAGATTTTTTCCAATGTTGTAGCCTCAGAATACTGGTCTAGTCAAGGACATTGGAACTTTCTTTGACTGGTGCTTGCAAGGCTCTCAGTGGCCACAGACAGGTCCAGACGCCTCATGCTCAGTTCTGGTTCTGCTATTTGGTGGCTCCTGGGATCTTTCAAATGGGTATGCTAGCAGTGCTCACCTTGTGGGGTTATTTTAACACTGAATGAGTTCACCAATTAAGACAGTTAGAACCATGGCTGGCACAGAGTGTTATATGTTTTAACTGCTTTTCATTCATTCACTAATCCATTTATTTATCCACTTATCTACCCATCTACCTGAAAACATCCATCCAAGAAGCATGAATTATTTCCTAATTTTGAAGGTAATAAAATTGTGATATGAATTATTCAGTAACAGACTTTACTAATTTGGTATGAATTTGTATTTTCTAACAGCTCTGAGGATTTCGTTTAATTCTTATTTATTGGATCATTGTAGGATAGTAAGAGAACAGGGGGTTGGCCTTTCAAACAACTGGTTCAATGATACTCATTTGATTTCAACATCTCCTGGGACCTGGGGCACATCCACTCCACTTCTACAGGTAAGAGAACAGACAAGACACTTTTGTCTTCTACAGCTTTCTCCCACTTCAGTGCGTGCGTGCGTGAGTGCAGGAATGAGTGAGTGTGTGTGTTTGTGTGTGTGTGTGTGTGTGTGTGTGTGTGTGTGTGTGTGTGTGTGTGTAGGACAGGGTCTTCTCACCGGACCTGGAGCTCACCACTTTTGAGCCAGCTGGATGCCAGCAATATTTCTGTCTGCCACCCTCTCTGAGGGTTACACGTATATACAGCTGTACCTGTCTTCTTATAGGAGTTCTCAGATCTGAACAGGCAGGGTCTGCACATTGGCCCTTCCAGCATGGGGTCACCTCCCCAGATTCCCCTAGTCGGTTTTGTGCAGAAATTTTTGACATTTCCACTGCCACGTTAGACACCGATTCATTAATATTGACAGTAAGAAATAGTATTCACTTTGAGCTGTGACTAGAAAGGACTAGAAAAGATTGCGCTCTGCCCCTCAATCAAAGGCACGTCTGTGAGGTTAGAGGTGCCTGTAATCCCATGAGACAAGACAATATAGTGATCAATCCTCATGGCCACAAGTACCTCAGCCCACGGCTCCGGGCTGCTTGTACTCAGGTCTCCCAGAGCCCTTTCAAATTGACATAAACGCTACGGATGTTTTAGACTGAGTAACTGCTCAATTCCAACATATGGAATTCAAGACCTGGGGGATAGAAAGATGGTTCGGCAGTTAAGAACACTGACTTCTCTTCCAGAAGGCCAGGGTCTTAGTCCCAGCACCCACATGATGGCTCACGATTGTCTGTAACTCCAGTTCTAGGGAATCCAAGACCCTCTCTGGCCTCTGAGGCACTGCTTGTGCACAGTGTACAAACACACATGCAGCTCCCCGCCCCCCACCAAATAATAATGAAGAAAGAATAAAGGCTGCCAGTGTGGCTTGCCCAGCACTTAGGCGGTGACATAAATGGGAGGTCGGTGAGATTTTGGTGAGTAGTATATTCTCATGTGGAGGAGTGTATTCTGATGTTGAGTATTCTGATGTTTTCAAAGCCATGAGCTTTGAAAAGAAGATGGGCCAAGACTTACACAAGCTGTCAGGAGAATGCCCCCAAACCTAAAAGTCTGAATGTTTGGTGGCCTTAAGTTGATGGCATTAAAGAGAATCAATCTTGAGGCTAGTCAGTCCTGGGTATGAATTTTAGATTTCTTGGGACACAGGGCAAGTGGCCTTGCCTGTGGGCCTATTTCTTCAGCTGTAAGATGGGGACAGCAAAGCTTCCATGGAAGTTATGGGAAGTGACAGGTGGAGAGAAAGCCTGTCAGCCACTATGTAGGAATACAGACATGGATGCTGACATCCGCCATGATATCCTACCAACACACTGTGAAAGATCTACAAAGGAGATGAATCTAGGAATGACACCTGGTGCTCAGCACCCAAACTAACCATCCCTGGCGAAATAGGCATAAGATTGAGTGGCTGCTGATTTTACAGAAAGGGAAAGTTCTCTGAACCAGGCTCAGCCTTATCAGCAAAGGGCAGGGCCACCTTTACAGACTAGAGATGTGACAGTCAGCTTTGCTGTTGTTAAAGGCCTTGGGGTGTCATCCATTCCAGTGTGTCACTCAAGCATCCAGGATCACAGCAATCCACACGAGGACAGATGAGTCCAGGGAGGTCTGCCAATTACAGAAGTGACAGTTAGGCCCAGATCTGGCTGGCACCAGTGCTGAGCTCAGCATGTAATCTGCCATCCCAGAGTGTGACAAATACACGATAAAATACACAGCTCCCAGAGGCCCTTAGAAGTAAATATGTCACTGGTAACATATGTGGCATCCCATGAAAAGCCAGACTTACGCTGGGAAAGCCCACCTTCCTGTAGGAAAATGTTTGTTGTCGTTGTTTTTCCTCTTTCTGAGGACGAACATGAAATGTGTGTTCACGATGGAACATATGGAAACAGTAAATGTTTGAAGCTGAAAACAACAACAGCAGCCCATCAGGCTGACTGTGGGTTCTATCGCCATCGACATTTTGGTGTATTTTCTTAGGTTTCCATGTTGGTTTAGTCACAGAAACAATATGGAACCACGCTCATTTTTATCTGAAGTTATGCATACACTATCATAGGGAGGTTCTCCCACTTCCCCAGTGTTTCTCCATCTCCTTCAAATGTTTGATGTGGATTCTTCTTCCGATGCACACTGTAATTTACTCGGTGTCCCTTTACATTTAAATGTCTAGTTGCTTTTGTTTTCTTCCACTGTAAAAATTGCTCTGATAGCTGGGTCTGGTAGTACAGGCCTTCAACCTGAGCTATTTGAGAGGCTGAGGCAGGAGGATTGCAAGTTCAAGGCCTGCCTTGGATACAAGAGTTTAAGGTCAGCTTGGGCAACTTAGTGAGGCCTTGTCTCAAAATTAAAAGTTAAAAAAAAGGGGGTGGTGCTGGTTATGGTGGCTAGGCAGTTACTGGGGCCAAGAACCTGTTGGCTGAGCCAGTCAGAGCCCCTAGGGGACCACCTATTAATATTACTCTACTAATGGAAACCGTGTTATACCAATTCCTAATGACGTCTCGTTAAACCCACAGAGCAGTGCATCTCTCAGCTCTCATCAGATGAGCTTTTTTTTTTTTTGCAGAATATGGCAAATTAACACAGAGCCCCACAGTTGGTCAAGCTGCAGACAGTAAAAGATGGTAGAATGCTCAGCCTTAAAGTGAGTATCTATTATCACATAGCCCTCCTCCCAAGACTCAGGGATCATTTCGGAAGATGGGGTGGAAAGGCTGTAAGAGCCCAGGGCAGTGGATGACTACAAACAGTGTCTTCCAGACACAGCAGGGGAGTTGCACACATGAACTCACAGGCATCACAAAGGTGCATAAAAGTCCTGTGCAACCCTGAGCCAGCAAATCTCAGCAGGGAGGGGGAGGTATGCAGTTCCACTCCTGAGCAGCTACTGGCAGCTTCCAGGAAAGGGAGAGTTAGTTGTCTATAATGGTGTGGCCCCTGGTAAGTCTGGCATGCTCTAGTGGATGGCTGCACACTTAAAAGCGTACCTAGCTGCACCAATGGGCTTCATGTGTTTATAGATATGTTTTTATTCTCTCTCTCTCTCTCTCTGTGTGTGTGTGTGTGTGTGTGTGTGTGTGCCTAAGTGCATGCATATGTACCATGTGCATGCAAGAGCCTACTGAGGTCAGAAGAAGGAATCAGTTTCCCTGAAACTAAAGTTACAGATGGTTGTGAGCAGCCATGTGGATGCTGGGAGCCAAACCCCAGGCTTCCAAGGACAGTAAGTGCTCTTAACTGTAGTGCCATCTCTTCAGCCCCACTTAATGGATTAAAACAAAAAACAAACAAGAAAACGAGGACAAAAAGTTGTGTGGATATGGAGTGGGGAGTGGATCTGGGAGGAGGTAGGTGAGGGGGATAAAAGTATTCAAAATACCAAGTATAAAATTCTTCAGAATTAATAAAACTGGTTTTCAAAATGGGGTGGCGAGCAGGTGTGGTAGTACATGCCTTTAATCTCAGCACTGGGAAGGTAGAGGTAGGCAGATCTCTGTGAGTTTGAGGCAAGCCAGGACTATCTAGTGAGATCCAGTTTCATAACACAAGACACAAGTAACAACCAAAGCTAGGCATGGTGGCACATGCCTTTACTTCTAACATTTTGAAGGCTGAGGCAGGTGGGTCTCGGAAAGAACCCAAACATAGGGTCAATTAGAGAGGGGGACCCCCAGATAGACAGAAACAGATGGTAGGGGCTCTGGTTGAGGGTGAACTCAGACTTAGCAGCTAGTGCTGGCGTCACTGGGAATGTGGGTTCTGAATGCCTCCCAGAATAGGCAGGGTTTCCAAAGAGGAACAAGAAGAGTCAGAGTGGGTTCTGTGAGCGCCTGCAGAGAGGCAATAGACGAGGTAGGGCTCAGCATGCCATTCCCCATTCACCCTGGCTGCCTCACCTCTCCCTGGTATCCTGATGTTTCCAAGGTTTACAGTGTCCCATGTGGACACTTCCTGCTCTCACATCTCTGCCTTTCTGCCTTGAAATGCCTCCAAGCTCCACAGCCCACTGGTCCTACAAACTTGGGTGCAACTCTCTGCTCCTCCATGCAGCAGCCTTCCACACTGATGCCTGCATTTGCCTCCACCCATAGCCTGTGCCCAGCTCAAGGCACGGGCTAGGCTGTATAGTGCCTTTTCTGAGCTCGGAGCCTGTCTCTTATGGTGTCCGCTGGCATTATTCAGGACTTTGTAGACAGAGATGCAAAAGGATACAGCATTCTGTCTATGATGAGCAGAGGGCTTCGTGTCCATGGTCCACAGCTGGGCTGTCCCTCAGAGGTAAGAAGTACAGGCCAGAGGAATACAGTAAATATTAAATGTGTGGATTATATGAGAGGCCCTACAACTCCTTTTTAGACTCTCAGCCTAGTATACAGTTTCAATGAGATAAAACAGCCATCTCTGAGTGATCATTAAATATCACACTCCCAGAGTCCCTCCCACTCAGGAGGTCTGGGGCATGGTCTGTCAATTCATGCTTCTAATAAGACTCATGGTAATACTGCTGTGTGTAAACTTTGATCAGCACCTGAGAGCTGCATGGCAACTTTAGGAGCTGGGAAGTTTCTAACGTCCTTTCTGAGGTATGTTTGGGAGTATCCTCAGAATTCTGAGAGCCAATGGAAATCATAAGAATGCCGTGGTTAAAAAGTGACAAGCTCTGTCCTTTTCTCACTAAGTCACAATGCATGTGGACAGAGAAAAGGTTTGGAAAAATCCTGCAATGAAGAAATTGCATTTATCCTTGGCAGTCTTGAACCCTTTTGTTGTAGAAGTGCCCCACAACTAGAGCTGGGGACTCTGCAGTAGAAAAAAACCATACATGTGGCCTGTTGAAATTTTGGCCAGTGGAGCCAATGGAGCCAGTGACTCATGTCTCATTCTTTCCTCTCACACCCATCCCATTCCTGTGTGTTTGCAAGAGAGAGCCATGCCTTTGACCCTGGATACCAGGGCTTCACATAGTCTGAAATCACAGGACTTGCTTCTTCCAAGTAGGAGAAGAACAAGTAGGGATCAGGGTTTTGAAGTAAAGAAGATAACCTAGGATAATTTCCAGTTTTCCTAAAGCCAAGTTCCCTCCTTTGAGGAATTCACTGAGTGGCTGCTAGGAAGTGCTAGTCTTTTATCTGAAGAACTTCAACCTTTTAAATCCAAAGGCTAAGGCTTTTCAATAACCCCAGTTTGTCCCTGTGTGGCCCTCACTGTAATTCAGATCACAAGCACCAGTCACAGGGTGGCAGTAAACCTCAAATTAGTACAAGTAATGGGGTTGTGGTGGGTGTAGGAATGGCAGGTTGTCTAATCTGACCTTTTGACCTTGGACATATTTACACGACCAGGCAGGGCTCAAGTTCCTTGTCCACGCTGCAAGAGCTGGACAAATCCCATTGGATCGTCAGTCTTTACCTGAATCTACCCCATTGTACATGAGGGGCCAGCACCCACCTGCAGAGGCTGATGGTATTTTGCCAGAGTCTGGGCCTTCCATCTTGGCTGAGGATCTGAGCAGCTCACTGTGATGGTACCTGCAGTGTGAACACACAGGTTCAAGTGTGTTGTATTCTAGACCCCCGACACTACCCCAGTGCCTCAGAACCGAAGATTTGCTTCTACACATCTTAGACCATTCCATGAATATCGAGGATGCACTATGCGCCAGGCAGTGTTCCTGGGGCTAGGAAGGAAAGCACATGACGCAGAGAGTCCTGTTCAGTTCACTTTACCACATTCTATGCAAGCTGGGCAGAAGTGGCCTGATGCGACCCTGTTCACAAGTCTCAGTAATTCTCTTTTGGAAAAATAGGTGCTAGTGTTCAGTAGGTGCCCAAGACATAAACTCTGAAAAACAGACAGATGTAAGCTTAAATATGCATTTATTTTCCTTTACAAAGCAGAAGTGATAATGCCTGATTTCGGGAGTCAGTGAAGATTTGGGCTACATACAGTAAGCTCTGGCATGGTGTAGCCTCCAACCATCTCCAGAACACACTCTTACCATAAACTTGTGTTTTAAAATGCTAGGAGGTGGTGTCTTAGAGCCTGGGCTCGAAGAAGAGAGAAAGCTTGGGTTGAATCCCAGCCCCTACACTGCCGGCTGTCACCCTGATGAGTGATTTCAAGTCGCAGTCAGCATGGGTGGTTCCTCACGTGCAAATGGGAAATGATGGAGGTCCCCTTCCCCCGCACAGTGGGTGGTTATGAAGATGAAGGGAGTTAATTCAAGTGAAGCCACAGAGCATGTTAGGTATGATCAGACTTATGCAAATTTGACATGCTCAGTTTTAAGCAATCCATCTTCAAACTGAGACTCCTGCTCTTTCTTTTCTCACCAAACATAGGTAACCTCAGCGCTTCCATGTGAGTCAATTTATCTTCCACCTTCCCCGTACTCGACGGAACATTATTACAGTCGTGTTTGACAGAGGTGGTTTACTTTTAGGACTCAGCACATTTTCCCTGCGGACTCTGTTCCTTGAGGTAGTGGTCCTTGCTGGTTTTTTGCCGCCTGCCTGAGTACCCCATTATGCCCAGCCCTAGGCCTCTGAACTGACCCTGAGAACATGGTTTCTGTGGCTTCAAAAGCTTGCTCAGGGAAGCCCAGCAAAGGGTAACTATGGCAAGGGAAAAGTCAGCCACCTCGCATTCGCGGACGGCACTGTTTTAGATGATGGCCCTGCTGTGGCTCCAGTGGCTGGAGCTCCGCCTCTTGCCTATTTGCTCTGTGACTGTGATCAGTGGGATAGCTCTGAGCCTCAGGCTTCTCCTCTGTAAAACGAGGGCATGAGGTCATGCTTGCAGTGGGTTCACTAGGTAATGTGGGTGGAGGACAGCCCATACAGAGTGGCCCTTTGACTAAGGCCTTCCCCACACATGAGGGAAAACTAAGTTACTGTCATGATTGGTGTTTAGGTGTACTCTCTAAGGTCCACGTGTTGAAGGCCTGGGCCCTAGCTATGGAGCCAGTCATTCAAAGATGGGCTCTCACCTAATTAGTAACAACTACTGGTTGATTTGTGATTTGATGGCATTTTTAGAAAATGACTGAAGCTTTGAGAGGTGAGGCCTAGTTGGAGAAAGTAGGTCATTGAGAATATGTCTTTGGGGACCTGGGCCTTATTCTGGGCTCCTCTCTGTCTTTACTTCTTGGCCACCATGAAATGAGTAAGTTGGCTACACCACATCCTTCCATCCTGATGTTCTGTTTTGTAATGGGTCAGAAATAGCAATGCTAGATCAGGGCTGAAAAACGTTTAAAGTGTGAGCAAAAATAAGATTTCTTGTTAAATCATTTCTTTTAGTTATTTCCCACTGTAAGGACAAAATGACAATCCCAGTTTCTGAAGGCTCTCTCATGGAGGTTGGCCTAGATGACAGGGAAGTAAACAACACCATCAGGATAGAGAGTCTCTACTGAGTCCCTCTGTGAACTGGCATCAGAGAGAGCTTTGCTATGTTGTTTTGTAAATCTGCTGTGACCACCATCAAGAGGACATTTAACTCCAGTAGCTGCCGGGCCTGATTTTTAGCATGATTCTAAAATCACTTGACTTTATAGTTTAGCCTGATTTTCAAGCTTTAAAAAAAAAAAATTCTTAATCAGCTATCTGTTGAAAGAAACTGTTGAATCTGTTGGTGAGTCTCAAGCACACCAGCACAACAGAAATCACCTGGGACCTTTACAGTGTCCGTGCCAGCAATCTGAAAGCCCTGGGCTGGGAGAGAGCCTTAAAGATAGATTTCTGAGTGAGTTTGGCAGCCGAGGTAGTGACCTCGTGCCAACTGTTCTCTAAGTGGCTCTCAGCACCGATCAGAATCCCGATTCTCTCATTCGGGACCAGAGCTGTGGGGCTCAAGCCTAGATCCGTACTGGAATCGCCAGGGACAGCTGAAATACTGGACCTCTCCCCTCCTCACCCAGACCAGTGGGACTCTGAGTGCAACAGGGGTGGTGGACCTAGGAAGCCAGCGTGTGTCCAGTGTCCAGAGTATTTGGCTAACAGGCACAGGGACAAAAGAGAAAGAGTGTGTTTGGCAGGATCTCTGTTCACACCTGCATTCTACAGCAGAAGCAAAAACAGCATGTAGTTACTATGCTATCAGCCATGTGTCCACCAACAGCTTTCCGGTTTTGAGGACCAGCCACAGCCAGCATTATGGATGTATGAAGGGCAGGTGACATTAGTTAGCACCTACCACCCCCTAGCTAATTTGCCTGCACTGTCTCATCGAAACCACACAGCGTCCTGCGCGGCAGGTGCTGATGTTCTAACCTGAAGCTTAGGGAGGCCAAATCACTTACATCAAGTCATTCAGATAAATCTGGCTTCAAGGCCTGCATCCTGAGCAACTGTGGCTCTCATGTGGATGGGGAGAAAGCCTTAGTTCCTGAGTACTTATTAAAGCTAAATGCTTTGCTGGATAATCTGCTCTCTTGCTTCTGCTCCTCTCCATCAGCCTAGAGGAGCCATTGGTGAGAAAGGCTCATTTTAAAGACGTTCTAGGTGTAGGTTTTCAGAGTGAGCGATCTGGCTTATGCAGGAGAGAGTGTGTCGAAACATCCGTCCTATCAGTTTGGCAGCAGGTTCTAAGGTGGCCCTGGAGAGGATGAATGCTCACTGTGGTCCCTTCTCTAACAGCAGGTGTAGAGCCCGTATGAGTGTGCACGTCATAACCTTACAGTTGCCTTCTGCCAGAGCAGCCTGTCACCAGGGATGAGGCAGGCGGCTTTACTCCCCTCTGGCAGCCAGGACAGAGCCCTGCTGTCCTAATGGGTAGGGCTGGTCTAGAGCTTTCAAACAGCTGTCCTGGCTATGCAGAACACTAGCAAGAATTCAAACCACAAAAGACAATCTAGAGTAACTATTTCTGTTCTTAAAATAATCCACTTCCCTTGTAAAGCCTCTATCTAGTGAACAAGCAGAAAAGAAGGCTTATTATACAGGTTCAGCTTTCAAACTTGCCAATGACAGGATATTAAAGGCCCCAGTTACTAAAGGCGATTTGTTGGTTCTCAGCCAGGAAAGATGTTTATAAAATCTTCATTTTGCAAGAGAGGAAGAGGTCAGAAGAGGTCAGAGAGGTTAAGTCCCCTGATCAGAGTCACACTGAGCGGCTCAATGGTGACAGCGGCTGCCTGGTGTGGCAGTCCTCTAACACAAGACTATCCCAAATACCAGAAGCTTCTCACTGAGTTTTGCCCAGGGACCCCTTTGAAAAGGTGAATCTGCAGGTCTCTCCCTTGGTAAGCAGAGGCATTTTTTTTTTCTGGTCTTAGCTGGGCAGTTCTGGCTGAGGCCACCTCAGCCACCTGGCGCATCCTTTCCTCCTGCAACACGACTCCAGTTACCTCAGCACCTTGACTGTTTCCATCCACTGCGCCTGCTCACTCTCCCAGGAGTCCACCCGGATCCAGTCAGATGTCTGCAGGGCCAGCCGGGCCATGGCTACTCGGTGATGGGAAGCCACCAGGTCTTTCTTCCCATAGCTGTCACTGACAGGCGAGATGATGCCCTCAACCACCTGGTACAATCCTGGGGACGAGAGAGATGCTTCGCATAAGGAGAGACGCTCGCCACCTGGCAGCACAGTGTCGGCAGGTGCTCAGCCTTTGCACCTCTGTCTTGAGTGTGAGCAGACCCTGGAGGTCACTCCTGGTGAGTCAAGGGCTTGAAAGGAAGGCTCAGAGTGGCACTTTACTGAGAGGAAGCCATGAGGGTGGAGCTCAGACAGCTTATCAGAGGACAACTGGCATCACGATGCGTTTGATGAGCATCATGAGGTGCCTTTATGTAGGACACTATATTTTTGTCATCCCCAAAAGAGGATTCTGGGGCTAGAAAACAAAGGGAGGGTGTGCTGGCTAGTTTTTGTCAACTTGATATAAACTAGTCACCCTGGGAAGAGGGCACCTCGACTGTGGAATGGACAGCATCAGACTGGACTGGGGGCTTGGTCTGCAGGACATTTTCTTAATCAAATGTTTGATATGAGACGGCCCAGCCCATTGTGGGCGGTGCTGCTCCTGGGTGGATGGGACTGGGTGGTGTAAGAAAGCAGAGTGGGTGAGAACAAGTCGGTATACACATGTTCCTCCCTGGTCTGCCTCAGTTCCTGCCTCCAGGTTCCCGCCTTGAGTCCCTGCCTTGGCTTCCCTCAGTGGCGGACTGTATACTCTGTAAGAAAAACAAACCCTTACCTCCTCCAAGTTGCTTTTGGTCTTGGTGTTTACCACACCGCAGGAAAGCAAACTGGGGCAGCGGGAGTTTGGAATGAAGCAGGGTTGGTGGGACTGACCGTATGGGCTCACTCTCACTCTGCAGTGATGTGTGGCCAACGAAAGGAAGGCCTGACAGAAGGGAAGCCTAGTGGAAAGGGAGCAGGGTGAGCTGCTTAGCAGAAGACACTGCCCATAGATCTTTCAAGTTCACAGGACTTTATCTGCTGAGAGACAAACTTGTGTTTTAAGTCCTTGAAACGAGGGCAACTGACCAAGGCTGTACACCCTGACAATGCTACTCTAAGAGACATTCCCTGTGACTTCTCGTTGAAGTTTTTGTCATCCTTGTCTTAGTTAGGGTTTCTATTGCGGAGATCAAACACTATGACCAAAGCAATTTGGGAGGGAGACCGTTTATTTCAGCTCATCCTTCCACGTCATAATCCATCACTGAAGGAAGTCAGGGCAGGAGCTCACACAGGACAGGAGCCCGGAGCTGAAGTAGAGGCCACGGAAGGGTGTTGCTTACTGGCTTGCTCATCATGGCTTGTTCAGCCTGCTTTCTTATAGAACCCAGGACCACCTGCCCAAGGACGGAACCACCACAATGAGCTGGGACCTCCTCCATCTATCGCCCATCAGGAAAATACTCTACAGGCTTGCCTCCAGCCTGGTCTTATAAAGGCTTTTTCTTAACTGAGACTTTTGTAAAGTCTCAGATGGCTTTAGCTTGTGTCGAATTGACATAGGACTAGTCAGCACAGCAAGCATATTGTGTACTCTTCACAAACTATTGTGTAACTTTTCTCCTCTGGTCAGTTACCATAGGGGAAGCACACTGATTAATTGTCTAATCGTAAACCAACACTGCATTTCTGTAGCGATCTCAGGTAAGTAAAGATATCTTATTATTATTTTAAGATTTACTTATTTTAACTTGTGTTTGTGTGCATGTGTGTGAACCTGTGGAAGAATATGAGAACCATGTGTACAAGAGCCTGTGGAAGCCGTAAGAGGGCACTAGATCCCATGGAGCTAGAGTCATAGGCAGTTATGAGCACTGGGAATGAAGCAAAGTGCAAGAACAATTAGTGCTGTTAAGTCATTGCGCTATCTCTCCAGTCCCAAGTGAGGTACAATTTACAATTGTGTATTTCAGTTTTTGTTTATTTACATAATTCTTTGAGATAGGATCTCACTCTGTAGCCTTGACTAGCTTGACTATACCAGGCTGGACCAGCACTCGCTATGTAGATCAGGCTGGCCTGGAACTCACAGATATCCTCCTGCCTCTGCCTTCTGAGTGCTGCGATTAAAGGTGTGTGCTACCATGCACACACTTGTCTTATCTTTCTGTGTACTGATGGGCTCTGGTTGCTTTTTTTTTTTAAGGAATGAAGACAGATCTATAGTTCTCCCAATCAGGTTTCTCCATGGAGGTTATGCCCGCCTCCTCTATATTCTTAAAGGCTGGTGTGAAGGACTGAACTCACCAATGAAACCCTTCCTCTCTCTCTTCTTCCTTTCTTCCCCCTTTCCCTCTCTGCTTTCTCCTCTGCCTCTTCTCTCTCCTTCCTGGGGATTGTATTCCATTCGAGCACTCTGCCCTTAGGCTGTACCTCACCAATCAAGTCTTATGAAGCACAGCGTAATTTGTATAAAAAATTTGTACTACGGATTTAATCTCCTTAATGGCTAGAAAATGATTCATATTTTTCATTTCTTCATTATGATTTTTGGTAAATTACAAATTTTTTTCAGAATTTTTCTCATTACATTTAAAGCTTTCACTTCACTGGCACGACTCTCTCTTACGTGTTTAACATCTGCACCATCTGCAGTGTGGGCCCTTTCTTCTTTCTTGCTTGGGACTGCAAGGCTTGTTATTTTGTTAGTCTTTCCAAAGAGCCAACTCCTGGTGTATTGATTTTTCTCTGCTAAATGTTTGTTTTCTGTCTCACCAATTTCTTTTCTTCTTTTTATAGACTCTACCCGTCTACTCTCTTGCTGTTCATTTTCTAACTTCTCACGGTATCTGCCCAGCTAATTAACTTGGAGTTTGTCTTATTTCCTAAAATACACAATTCAGGCTTTAAAATTCCACATCTTTACTTGTTCCCCACATGTTTTGATATCTGTGCTTTCATGATCTTTCTGTTCAAAGCATTTTCTAATCTCCATTGTGATGTCTGTTTGATCAGCTATTTAGGAACTTTTTTTTTCTTAATTTTAAGGTGTATCATGATTTGGGGGTGCTGTATTTTTGGTAGTAATTTCTAGCTTAGTTCCACCATAATTACTAGTTTAGTAATTTCTAGCATAGTTCCAACCTCTTGAAATGTGCTATGTCTTCCTTTACACATTTTATGCACTGGTACATGAGCGGGGCTGAGGAATGCTGCAGGTATGCTTAAAAAGCAGGTGTACTCACTTGCCTGCTCTTTGATCACCTCCCTCTGGTGAGGTGGCCTTACTAGGCCACACAGAGAGAGAGAGGATCCAGATAGTTCTGATGACACCTGATAGGCTAGGGTCAGATAGTAGGGGAGGAGGACCTCCCCTATCAGTAGACTAGGGGAGAGAAATGGTTCAGTAAAGAGGGAGCATAGTACTAGGGGGAAATGAGGGAGGGGATACAAAGTGAATAAATTTTAATTAATAGTAATAATAACAAAAATGGCAAAAAAAGATACTGACGAAAACACAGACAATGGCAAGTGAGTTCATGCCAGTGATTGCCTCTGCTCCCCTTACTAGGGAACCCCAATGGAGACTGAGCTGCCCATGGACTACATCTGAGCAGGAGTTTAGGTCCTCTCTATGCATGGTCCTTGGTTGACTCATCAGTCTCTGCAGGCCTGCCTCATCCCAGATTTTTGTCTCATTGATTTCTTTAATGAATGTATTCACTTTTTCTTTCAAGACCTCTAACATATTCATAAAGGCTGATTTGAAATCCCTAAAAAAAAAGCAGGTGTATTCACTCTGTGGGTATTCAGTGCTTGTTCAGGCAAGGTAAGTGATGGCTTTGTTTAAATCTGTTATAATTGAGTTTGTGTCTGCCTGTGGTATTAGTCACAAAAAGCTAGAAAATCTTCCAGTAATATTGTAAATTTTTCCATTTTCCCTTTTCTTTCCCTTTTTAAAACTTTCACTTCATATATTTTAATATACATGACTGGATAAATATACATTTATAACATGTGGCTTTTTATTGCTAGCAAAATTGTATTAAAATTTGTCATAAGTTTGTCATTCCTGGGATGGCAATCTGTATGTTGTTTCATTTATTGTCTATATGAATTTCTTTTATTTACATAGTCTTGGAACATATTTAATATGTGGATTAGTGTCTTTCAGTAGGCCTGAAAAAATTCTTAGTTACTATCTCTCTAGAAATTACCTGTGCCTCCTTATTTCTGTTCCTTCCAGCTTTCTCACTGGCTATGAGAACCTCCACATCTCACCCTCTCTGGGGTTTATTAAAATCTCTCTGTGTTCCATTGTGGATAATTTCACTTCATGTATATCTCTATCTACTCAGCCTGCCATCAGCCTGATTCAGAACCATGCAGCAAACGTTACAGTGTTTTCTGGTCTACAAATGGTAATACTCCATTTGTTTAGCTCTCCTATGATTTCTTCATTGGCCATTATAATTCCAGACATAAATTATACACATTTTTGTTAGACTTAATCTAAATAGTTCATTTTCTTCAATCAGCTTTAAATGGTATGATGTTTCGATATTTTCACATCTGTTACTGGTATGTATAAGTGTACGTATATATGTATTTGTGTGGTGATATGTATCTTGCAACTTCTTTTAGTTACTTTTCCAATGCTGTAATCAAATTCACTGACATAAGGCAACTGGAAGGAGGAAGGTTTTCCTCTTGCTTCATCACTTCTGAGGGTTCCAGTCTATCATGACGAGAAAGAGATGGCGAAACAGCTCAGTGATGAAGGTGAAAGTGGGTGGCAGGTGCCAGTCACATCACAGCAGACCACAGACAGAGAGCAGGGTGGGAAATGAGCAGAGGTAGTGCACCCTTCCCCCACACCTCGTGGCCTACCTCCTCCTGTTGGGCTCTGCCTGCCAAAGTTTACAAACTTCTCAGAACAACCCCATCAAAACTGAGGAGTAAATGTTCAAAATGTGAACCTGTGTGGAACATTTTAGAGTCAAATGACAAACCTATACTGTTGTTTCCCAACGGCTTATGATAATCTTATAACACGAAATTCATTAAGTCTATCAGCAGAAGTCCCCATATAGTCTTGACTTCCAGTACTGGTCAAATGTCTAAGCCC